TATATATATAATACATTCCCAGGTCATCAGGACCTAGAGCAACATAAAATATTATAATCTAATCAATCAGTAGACTCTAGCCAGACCTCAGGTAACCATTCCTCTACTCTAGGATGAATCAGCAAGCCTGCAGACTGATGAAAATGTTTCAAGTAAAAGAACAGCAGTTATGGCTTAACTGGAGAAAGCAGTCCCAAACTGAGGTCCTCAAAAACTATTGTAATGATCTGAAATGGGAGTGTATGGTACCCCTTCAATTGGGAGGAATTCCGTAACGAGCGACCACTGCCACTATGAAATAGAAAAGAAGAGGGATGATAGTATTGTTAGGGTAATGGGCGGGAGGACTTCCGTAACAAGCGACCACTATGAGACAGAGTAGAATAGAGGGTTAGGGGTAGGTGCAGGGTTATGGTTGGTTAGGGTTAGGTCTCTTCTTTATTGTTTCTTGGGGTGATCGCTCGTTTCAGAAGTCCTTCCCTTCAATTTTGTCTACACGTGGTCAGGTGCAGTGAAGGCAGTGTGGGAGCTTGCATATATGGCATTTTATCATGCATAGTGCCCTACTCCCCTTGCTTGGACAGAAGGGATGATCTACTAAACTAAATTACTTCCTACATCTATACTAATTATGACTAGGCTAGGCCTACGGAGCTGGTAAAGACAAAACTGGACTTAGAGGCGATTTTGTAGTTTCGTTCGTTAAAGTCAAGAGTAGGGGGGTTTCGGGGGGTGCCCCCCTGACCTAATAAAAATATGGAGGTGGGGGGCCCCCTGAAAGTTATCCTAATTTGATGTTTTGCAGTTAGGTTGCATCCCTGCTCTTTGTGTAGCCTCTTTCAAATAGTATTTGGTCATCAAGACTTCTGGATTTCTTCTCTGGATGCAAAAAAATCATATCGTGGACTTTAACGAATGACACGGAACTACAAGACACAAGATCACCGACTTAGTTAGATTCAGTGATGCCGCATCATTTTTTAGAAGGAAGTGGCTATTCTCACCCGGGGTGAGAATAAAAATACGATCTACCTCTCACCCTGGGTGAGACTTGCCAGTGTAGGCTATTCTCACCCGGTGTGAAACAAGACCTGTTTTTCCTCATTTCGGAATACTGTCTATCATTGTGGATGATCAAATTGATAAAAGCCAAGAAAAAAAATATGTTATAGCACAAAAGTAAGCTAATCTGATCGTCTTCAAAGATGCTACTATGGCTATTTCACTTTTCGAATTGAGCCGAACTACGCAGGTCGCCATTTTGTTTTGCCCGGAAGTTCTTGCAAGATCTACTCCTCCCCTCTCTCTCTCTCTATCTGAATACTGTCTATCGGTGTGGACGATCAAATTGATCAAAACAGTTTTAAAATTATGTAAAAACACAAAAGTAAATTAATTTGGTCGACTACAAAGACGCTACGGCTATTTAACTTTCCGAATCGAGCCGAACTATGCGGGTCGCCATTTTGTTTTGCCCGGAAGTTCTCGCGCTACTCCTCTCTCTCTCTCTCTCTCTCTCTCCACTGCCCACAGACAAAATTGCACGCTTTTAGGCTAACACTAACAGTGGTATACAACGTTTGTTCACGGCACAGAATTCTACAATTCTGTTATCACAGTGTAGACTGTAGAATTTTGTGGTTCAGGGTGAACGCTTAACTGGTTGGCCTAGGCTATACTATAACGGTGAACGCCCATCAGGTGAGAATATTAGCCAAAAGACTCGCCTGCGCTATTCCCACCCGGGGTGAGAATAGAGGTGGCCTTTTTATGGGAGGACTTCCATAACGAGCGACCACTATGAGTATGAGACAGAGCAGAATTGAGGGCTTGGGGTAGGGGTAGGGGTAGATCTAGATCTATACTCAAAGTACAATCAAAGGATCTCAACATCAATAGACATTTCAATAATTGAATCATAGATTGAGTAATTGATTAGGTTATAATAGGGCCTACACCAGTCAGACCAGTGACAACACCATGCATCGCAGTTGATGAGGTGGGTGGGGTACCTTTCATTTCAGTAAAACTGTCGATTATGAGCCATTGTCCTACTTAGGGACAAAGCTTTTTTATTAGCCACAAAAATTAGAATAAAAAGAATACAATACTTCGGAATTTACAGGATTCGCTAGTCTGAATTGTAATCAAGTAGTCCCGTCTCACTTATCCACTCACAAACCAAAACAGAGTGTACCTCTTCTTGCCAAATCCCGAACCGGAAGTATACAACCATACTTTTCACAAACCGAAATTTTTTTATGTTTCAGACTATGTTTTTATGTATCATTTTGAGCTTGCTTACAAAAAAATGTCGTGAAAATTGAAAAATAATGCTTTCTTAAATGTGAATGCATACTCGGTGAGGTTTCATCAAGGTGAGACATTGTAAAACCACAAAATTACAGAAAGGGAATTCTGTTCTAATTTTGAGATATAATCGGAGGAAAATCTGGACTAGAGATAGATAGCCACCTAAAAAGTTTGAGCGTCAATTCTTATATTTTGGTGTGTTTTCTGAAGCGGTCTCGGAGTTTTCTTGTCAGTTTTTTTTTGGGGGGGGGGGTTGCGGGGTTTTTTTTAAGGGGAGTGTTTTGTTTTCTTAAAGTTTTATTAACATAAAATACTGTTTAAAAGTAAATTAATACTTTTCGTATTATGTTTTCTTCCATAAATTAGCACATGACAGATTCGATGCAGAAATGGATGAACTTTATAGAGAAAAGTTGTAGGCAGCAGAGAGTAAAACACGCTACGTGGCTATCGAGATACAACCACATTTATGTATTGAAGTCTGTCGAATCATTTGTCTCCCCCCTATTCTCTCTCTCTCTCTCTCTCTCTCTCTCTCTCTCTCTCTCTCTCTCTCTCTCTCT